AGGGGACTGATTGATTTTATTGCCGCCAGGCTGCCAAATCGGTCCAGGTAATAACCTCGCCTGTTTTATTCACTGCCTGGCCTACCTGTGGAGTCCTCACAACAGTCTGCTTTCCAACCAAACCCCATATTTTCCTGTATTTCAGGTTGTTTTATCTTTCGACCACCTTTAAAAAAACAGAAACAGATTCTCAATTTGGACTGAAAAAGAAAAATGGAAGGAGTTTATACCATGTGTGAAAATTTAACATGATTATGGTGAAACGAATAAATATAATACTTTTTATTGAAAAATAAACTTCCGGCTTATGACAAGTAATTTTTCATCAGCCGTGAATCGACCCTGGGGTCGGTTGACTCTCCTGGGACGAAGCCTTCCTCAACAAAGTGGGTACTCTTAATTAAATAATTAATTAAGGAGGAAAACCTGGCGGTTGAGCGTGATATTGGCCCGTTACCTCCCTGCAGAACCGTTGCCTTGTAACAGTACTTCCTAACATGCATATATAAAACATGGGGGGGTGGAAGCAGGGATTGGAGACAGCCTCAATAACATTGGTAAATTTCTAGAACTTTTTCAGTTATATATAAATAATATTGAAATTGGCAAATATTTTTCATTCATTAGTTTGTATGGTAGCCATGAGATACTTATCAAATTTTTAGTATTTTAATGTTAAAATATTGTAATTAATGATAATCTTCAAAACTAAAACTAAAACTCCATTGAAAAATAAAATCTTTGATACCTCGGGCACTTTAGATAATATGAAACGTAACTTTTAAATAAATCAAAACATATGGCTTCTACACTCTCAGTATTAGACTCATATACTCTTAGTAAGTGAAAGAGCTTCAAATCATGGATTTTCTAAGCGAAATAAATACTTCTTGGGCCAGTACAACAATGACTTAATTCAGGGGTAGATGTGTCTTGATGCTTAACTATTAAACTGGAGGGATATTTTCCAATGGAACATGTTACCACTTATTAAATAATTCTTTACATCAACTGCTTTATCAATTTTTAAATCAACTTTTTCTATCAATTTTTACATCGTGATAAAGTATAAAGCTTCTGCAACTGTGTATGCTCAATCTTCTTCTTCTGGCACTACAGACTGAAGTGGTCCTTTGCCTGCTTTAACATGTGTTGAAAACAAAGTTCTTTCTACATTCGTCCCTATGGATGCCTGTCGTATGTCCTCCTCCACCTTCTTCTTTCGTGCCCTTGGTAGTCCATTTGGTCTAGTGTCGAAGATTCTCCTTCTCTTCACCTGTCTGTCTTCATTTGTTCGGTTGACATGGTCATACCATTGCAGCCTGCTCATTCTTATCAAATTTGACAGTTGAAGATCGTTATAAAGATCATTAATCTCTTTCTTTTTCCTTCTTCGCACACTCTCCCCTCCCCATTCTCATAGATCATTCCTCGCAGCATCCTCCTATCGAACCTGTCTCATATGTTATTATTTAATGCTCTTGTTTCTCCTCCATACGAGTGCTTAATGCACATATTTTTCTGACATTGCCTAATCATCTAATGCATTAGGTAGGGATACCTATTTAAAGTGAGAATTCACACTGAGGTATATTTGTATCTGCTAAATACTACATGGCTGTAGAAAATAAATCTCAAATCAGATAGCTAAAAGTTAAATACCACCCAATATATTTACTTTAAAACACATTTATATTTCCTAAAATAATGATAGAATTTTTAATAGTGCAAACTTATATTTATTAGCCATTTTTGTATGTCTTTTTTTTCACAATCTTCTGCAGAATTTATAATTTAACTTTTATTTATGTGAATAAATTTATTTTGCAATATAAAATATGGTAAAATCTATTCATGAACAACTTTTTTAATAATTACCGAAACGGTTTGGATGAACCGTACAAAATAGTTTAGAACTTTTTTTCTCCCTCTCAAATAAATAAATAAATTCAATATGGAATAAACAAATCACAAATGTCTGGAAAACGATAATAATATTTTTAATAAAATATATAAAATTTTAAACTTTCTGAAGCTTTTATTTTCTTGAGAATTTATTAATAACTTTTTAAGGTGAAATAGTGATTGTTAAAAAAGTAGATAAATTAAATAATGAATCTTCTTTCAATGGTTAATTTAGAGGGCTGGAACAAAACACGTTCAAACAATTTAAAAATATTATAATGAGTTTTCCATGCAAGGAATTTTTGATCTGTGGCATGCCTCTGAACAAGAGTTCGAGGCTACAAAAGACTACTTTATGTATTCTATGTTAATACAGATACTTTGTTTTAGAATAATGTTAGATATTTAAGAGTAATGTGGGTACCACAATAATTATTATTAACACAAGTCAATATATTATTAATAAAAATGGACTATATACTGCACGTGCTTAGTTCAGTACATTTTACATTATTCATAAATGTAATGTATATTGATAATGGAAATAAGCCTGTACGGAGCACACAGACTGTCGGCCATTACAATGTAATGTAGAGGCGGGGACTACAAATGGTTTGAATACAGGATGAAGAACTGTTGTTCCCCACCTGATACTCTTTCCATTATATTATACAACCATTTAGATCCTTCCTGCATACAAAAGCTTTTGAAACTTACTTCCTGCTTTTTTTCACACCCTTTTTATATAAAATAAATAATAAATTATAATTTTAAAACTTTTCATAGATGCTTCCTTTTCTGAAGAGAAAAAAAAATTGTTTAAAAGAAGTTTTCCTGATTGTATTGAACAGCTCGTCTTTCCCCGTTCAATATACACTGATGGCTGACTTTGTCTTTGTAGTTTTCAGGCCTTGAAGTTATTTTGTCAGTTAGCCTCCTTCTCAGTCCCTCTTTATTCTTCATCTTTAGCCAAATGATTATAAAAACAGGGAACAAATTCTTGTATTTTAATATTGTTTTTCGATAATTATTACATTTTATGTGACTAACAAATACAATTTTATAATTTATATTTTATATACGCTAACTTTAGGAATATTAATCTAAAGTAATACATATACATATGATTAACAATATTAAATTATAGTAATTTAAAATAATATAAGTAATAATTACCAGTAATAATAATTATTACTTATGGTTATTAATATCGAATAATATTACTTTGAAATTTCGATTATTTTTAATATTATAAATCGCACTAAATCAAGGATCATTCCCATATGATTCTACAATGTTCTATGACTGGAGAAGTGCATTATCTAGTACTTCACCTGGACAAAACAACCGATGGACTCGGAGAATATGTATTACAGTGAACAGAAAAAAAATTCAACGAACAATGTGGATTATCGTTCAGGTTACTTGCGCTAAATTATCCTTAACTAAGCAATTACTTATATAATCTTTATGGCCTTATATAGAGGAATAAAGCTATGGGACACTGCAAATATCTTCAGCTTCCTCAAAATTCAAACTTTCCAATCAAAAATGTTGTGTACCATTTTTTGTGACAAATCATTTGCTACAGAAGAACAAGCGATACCAGATACTGAGACAGAATACGATAAAAACTTCCACCAGAGACAAACTTACGGTATAAACTCACTAGCCGAAGCACTAAATTCTAGCAAGAACTTCTACGACTTTTTAGGCGATGGTCAAGAGATTTTGTAACGTAACAACTACCCGGAATGAGTAAAGATTTTTTTATTGCAAAATAATAATTTGCGGATGAGAAATTTACATATTCGATTACATAAAAAATGTATATAAATCTATTAAATTTAATTTTGTATGAATTTCTCAAAAATGCATTAAAAGTACCCAAAAATACAAAAATAAATAACCCAGCATATACTGACGAAAAGTCTGAAAGGGACTGCTGAAGTTGGTGGTTTAAAGTTTGAACTGATACGTCTATCGTTATCTTGTCCATCAACGCCTAATTCGCCTAGTTTTGTGACCGCTATAACGTTTTAGTCGAGTGTCTGATATTTTTATAATTATTTATTTATTTTTACATACGCTTACCGACATTATTATTTTATTTTCCATCATACCCTGCTGTACAATCTGATACAATCTGACGGTAAACATGCCTACTGGAAGTAGTGAATCTTTTTACATCGCTATAAATAGCTGCGAACACACTATGATTTTATTCATACATCAGTATGACCATCTTCTCTTCTGTTTTCTGGTCACCACCATCATGTACGATTTGCTTCTCTCTTACCAGAGGAGAAGCAGATTGGACCCTCAACTTCATTCAAGAGTACTTCGTTTTTGTCATCATCTGAGAGAACTCGTCCTCCAACAAAATGTATGTTACCATAAATTTCATTTACGAACGTAAGACTATATGTTAAGATGAAGTGTTTCGATCATGAAAAATTTCGAATCCTGGTTTTCAGTGAAAATACAAGTTTAAGATCACCTTCGACCAAATTAAAAACTCTCCTCTCTCCCTCCAGATTAGTTTTGTGTGTGATGAAGTGTGACAGGGTAAGCAATTTTTACAATATAAAAAAAAAAATTATTTTACTGTATCTTATTTTGTGAGTTAATGAAAGAAAACAAAATTAGAAAATATATCAAGCGGGTTTATTAGATGGAAAAAAAAACATATTATAACCTCTCAGTACCTTTAGGTTAACAACTTTAGACCTCATAGTAGGCTTAAATAATTAAAAATTAACTAGCTCTATATAATATAAAGAGGATAAACCAATTTATAATCAAAGTAATGGATGTGTGCTACGGGCACTATATATATGTTATTTTTTAACATTAATACGTTCCAAGTAATGGTTATACTTACACGACCAGGAACAGAAATACAACAAGGAAAACAGAACGTAATTTAATACGGGACTGCATGTAACGTTACTCTTAAATGGAACTATTATATTGTTTCCTTATTGAACGAATTCCTTTTTCCCTCGTTATTGTTTAGTTATAAGTCCGACCTATAATATTATTAGCCTATAAAGTAACAAGATTTTAATTAATTAATTTGTCTAATGTTCAAGGTGGCCGAGTGGACTGACGAATCTGGATTCCAACCGGTAGCCGCCAAATATATTAGAATCAAGCAGCCATCCGACATCGAGAGAAACCGGACCTACATAGTGACCACCATTGTTGTGAGTATTGTTTTTTACTATTATACCCACGAATAAAAAAAATCTATTTCGCAACTGTTCAAGAACGGGGGATGAAAAACCCTAATGACACATGGTAAAGATGGCTTATCTGCAACTTGATTGGACGTTTGAGAAAAAGTAGGGCAATGACTGCCTGACTTGACAGCTAACTAGTGTCGTATTCTCATTATTTTTAGGGAAAATGAAACTCAGGAAGCACCTGCCAATCTCCGACCTGGCAAAGCCCACTAATCTCCTGTCAAAAGATAATTCATTGCGTCGTCCTAGGAATTGGATATATGTTCGTTCCGCGCTTTACTTATCAGTTTCCTTCATGCTTATGAATGAACTTTTAAATCTTTATTGTTATTTATGTCCATCTTTCAACTTGGTTTATATACTTAATGAGTATTAGTCTCATGTATCTCCACAGATTATTACCTTCTATACACAATTATTTCACTCTAAATCTCCGATTTATTCCGCTAGATTCTGATAAGGGAAAAAATAATAATAAGTTACTTAACTATTAAGTTAACAACATCTAAAAGGATTTATGATATGAATGATTAATACAACCTATTTTCTTATACCTTTTATAAGGACAAAGAGAATTTTCTTCTCACTTTTATGAGAAGAGAAATAAAGAAAAATCTCAAGAAATTCCAATGCTGTGATAGAGTTAGTTCAAATAAACGACTGCGATACATTGACACCACCACCGTAGAATGAAGTATTTGAGAGAAAATAATTCGCAACAACCGAAGAAAACAACCGATCCGGGATCACAGTACTAACGCATAGATGATGAAATATTATATCATTTCGATATTGGATAGATCATATCAATGCAATAGAGCTGCATGCAGATAACTGTAAGGAAATAGCCCAAGATAATCAGAAATAGATAATACTTATAGACTACAAAAGTATTATCTGTAAGTCATACCAAAACAAAAATAATATTAAAAAGTTCTTATAGTGCCTTTGTCGATTTGTATTAGACTTGATTACAAGATATTTTTTTTTAATAATAAAGCTATATTAAATTTGACGACGTCCCAATCTTCACGATTTTTGTTTTCTTTAATGTGACTAAACAGAAATTTAATCGAAACTAACACACCATATCAAGAAGGTAATGTAAAATAAAATTTCCATAAGCAAATATTCTTAAGGACCATTCTTTTATAGGATGTATTATTTTTTTCAAAATATTAATTGAATGGCTTCAGTTAAATAGAAAAAATAAAATAATCTATATACACTTCTTACGTTCAAAGATAAAATGTTTATTTATCAAATTTCTATCTTAAGAAAAGCCAGGTATGTAAAATGGCATTACAAAAACATGTAAGCGAGCTCGTACACATAATAGGATCCATATTGGAATTTCTCACGGTTTAACAGCTTTCATATAGATGTACCCGATATTACCATGTTACCTGATACGTGATGCTCCAGGACATGTTACGTCACCACCAGTCAACAGTAATCTGAGGTTTGGTGGAAAGCAGGAGTAAAGTCCTTGAAAATCATGATTAATCAACCGTTAGCGAATCAAAGAATGAGTTTAATGTTTAAAATTTATATTAAAAAATAAATAAAAGTAAATTTACTTATTTAGGATTGAAAGCAATCTATGGAGAAAAAAAATAGTTAGTTATATTACGAAGGCAATTAAAGAGTGAGGTCCGCAAATTTAATATTCTTTTTTTTTTAAATACCTTGTATTCAAGTTAGATAGGATGTTACACAAATAACGTACTAGAAGAACATAGGTTCTAACAGTCATGTCATATTAATAAATTGCAATTGAGTCTACTAGTCCTTCAAGGTCTTTTTAGATATTCTTAATTTTACAATATCTTTTAAAGATATGTGACTTTTTATGAATTAATTCTCATCATAGCAATGAAGTCTTATATACACACACTATACTAATTTAATTAGGAAAAATTAATATTTATTCATTAATTTAGGGAGAACACAGTAGAACATATCTCAAAATGTTCTGCGATACCAGTAGTTACTGCGAATCTTCACTTGAAAAAAAAATTAATCACTTCTTATATATTAGAAAATTGTTGCGTTTATTTCATAAATATGATAGTAACAATAGATAGGGTATAGAAGATACCCTTAATGAATTTAGATAATTAACCAAAACATTTTTACATAGAAGAAATAAAAACTTTTTCTATATATTTTTATTAAACATTATAACCAATTATAGACCAACACATACGTACTCTCTACTCTCGTTTTCATCTCAAACTACACAAACACACAAACAGACTTATAAAAGACATGGCTACGACTGACATGCCCATCAGGAGGAGACTAAAAAGGAGTTGGATGAGAGATCTCCTCACCTAAATCGAAGAAATAAATAATGAGCAGGAAAAGGTGCTGCTGGATACTATTCTTCCTCATGCCTATAATACCAATCCTCATCATCACATCTGCTGATTGTCAATACCATGACAGGTGCGGATAAATAGTAAAAGAGAAAAAAAAACAAAAAAAAAACCTAGCTTGCAGGTTTTTCGTTTATATATTTTAAAGAATATTTATTAAAGAAGAATCGCTTTGAGGCGTCAGTAATAGTAATTGCAAACAAAGTAGGTCTGATTCAAATTAGGGTAATCAGGATTTTTAATTTCATCACTTGAGGGGGGTATGGATTTTAAATTTTTAAATGGGGCATGGATTCTTATTTTTTAAATGGGGTATGGATTTTTAATTTTTAAATGGGGTATGAATTTTTAATTTCAAGAGTATAGTTATTCGACAGTTTTATTTTCTTATTTGAGCTACCATACTGTATGGACTTTAGTGTTATTGCAGTGTTTACTTTAATGTCATTCAATTTTGTGCCTTCCATTGAATTTTAGCATGAACAACTCAAAAGTTCGATATCAATTTTTGTTATCAACAGTTACAAGGAAAGATAATATATAGAGATCAAATGTCAAAATAAACAATTAATACATTAAATTTGTTTCCCTAAAACACTGTTATTTGCTTGTGGAGTTCGTATATAGATTGAGTTTCGCCTGTAATAACATAAAGTGGTTCCTTTATCGGAAGCTGTTTCGGTCATATTACACAAGCCTGTCACGTTTCCTTGTTGAGTATATACTGGCTTGGAGGTACACGTTTATTCCGGTACATTTCCGTATTGACGTTGAGTAAGCCTCAAAACTTGCACAATGGGATACTTCGCTTCATCACTCTTGGGAGCAGTTTATCCATTGATAGGCAGCACAACTTCACGGCCCTTTGTGTGCTTACTACACAACTCAGCCCTGTTTGATAACAGCCTGGTGAACGTTGCAGTAAATATAAACCAATATGGGGACGAAGGGTTAATATTTGAAATTCATCTGATTATGGTATGTTTTTATAACCATATTACAATTATTTTTTAAAATGATGGAAAGAAATAAAATATAAAAAATCATAGACCTCATCTTACTTTCATTATTCGTTACAAATATTTACATTAGTTCAGGGTAAACGGGAAGATAGGGGATGCGACCAAAAGGCAGGTTGAAGGGAAAATATTAAAACATTTCACTAGGAAATATTCAGACCAAAGTTCTACAAATAAATAGTAAACGACTTAAGTACTTCTTTGCAATAAAGATTTTAGGCAATTTTTTTTTTAAATTAGTTATAATAATTTTACATGTATTAATAAAATAAAAATTGTAGGATGTGATCATTTCTGAGGCCCGCGAAAATCTGGAGGCCCACGGAGCCTTAGGCGAAGGCCTGTGAAACAATTTAGATATTACCTTAAAATAAACAAACATTTAATTTTTTACTTTAATAGGTTATTTAATAAAAAACTATCATGATGAAAACTTTTTGTATTTGTTACTGTATGTTTAGTTTATTATTGAGAATAATGAACCATTGTAATTGAACGAAAAATTCAAAAACTTAAATCTCCTATCAAAATTTGAGGTTTTACGTTTCAGGAAACGTAGAATTCCAAAAACGAATACAATTTTTGTTTTTGTCCGTCAGGCGTCTGCATTTTTTTAAAAATTGGTATTGAAAGTCAGATGTCACCCAAGGATGATCCTCCTTCATCGAAATTGCTATCCACCTTTTCCTTTCAAGATGGCGGCCGAAAAACCTGCATTGGTATGGACTGTAATGCCTAAACGAATATACCGATTTCAATAAAACCTGGTTAAATGCTTTTTCTCCATTTCCTTTAAATTTATCTGTATTACTTCAACGAGAAAAACCTGGAAAAAAGTTACGAGGGGTAATAAGATTAGATTTCGAATAATTCAAAAAGTACACACTTTTTGTAGATATTGAGATAAGATGTTTCAAAGGTATTTAAATTTCCTAAAAAAGGAAGAACGTTGCATCGAAATCAGAGCACTATTAGTAAAGATATCGCGATTTTTTAAAAATTCTTGGTTTATTATTTTCAATAATGAACCATTGTAATTGAACCAAAAATTAACCCCCTCTCAAAATTTGAAGTTTTACTTTTCAGGATACATAGAATTCAAAAAACAAATAAAAGAGTTTTTGTCAGTTCGCCGTCCGCCCATTTTCTTCAAAACTATTGGACCTATTTTTTTCTGTTGACATTACAGAACTTGTAGATATTTTTCCGCCTTAAGCAGGCTTTCCCATATTTTCCAGAGGCTATTTCTTTCCAGCCCTATTGCATCTTCGTTAATACGATCTATGCATTTGGGTTTTGGCCTCCCAAGTAGCCTCTGAGCCACAATTGAGACACAGATTGTTGTGTAGAGGCTTCCTAATTAGTGTTGCCCCCCACCAACACCGCTTATCTGTTGCCATATCAGGATCAAGAGTGATAAAAAAAAATCGATTTTCGGAATACAAATTTAGGAAAAATAGTTACTAATACTTGACAATTTAGTTAATATATGTAAAGAATTGGTGTAACGAATATACTTTTGCATTTAATTCTAAATTAACATTAAGAGGACTGCGGTAAT